ATCACTCGCGACACCGTGGAATTCACGATTCCCAACGTTTTAGCGATGGAACGATGCGAGAGATCCTTGTTCTCGTGATGAATGCGCAAGATTTTATCACGCACGAGCTGTTCTTTCGACTCCATTTCCGCGAGTTTTGATCACAGGACTTTAAAACTTGCAGGATGTAAATAATGCACTATGAACTAAATCCACCCAAATTTTCATAAAATTCTACCCAACGGTTAAAAAGTTAGAGCAATTTCATAGTGTGGCAATTTCATCGTGGACACCCTTTAAAGGAAAGAAAAGAAGATAAGGCTAAGAAGTTTTCACCAAATACAATCAGTTATAAATTTGTTATAAACAGGTAATTGAGTCATGCAATATCGAACTATAACTTCAAGATAACAAGTGCCTGTCAGAAAGGTTGAATACTTCACAAACAACAATACACCGGGGTTAAGATGTTTTCTAAGCAATCAATATATAACTTATTTACAACTGGGATTTGTTACATTTTTTCTGGACGATGTTGCAAGTGTTACTTGGGCTGTCATACGACACTGTTGCTGAAGACCGTCAAGAATGTATGTATTCTATGCTGCTGATGTTGTGCTTGTGTGAATTCTGAAAATAGCAAGCAAGGATGCCCTAGTAATAACATTTATGATCAGAAATGGTTCATTTTACATAAAATTGAGAAATTAGAACGAAATCACACATTTCATATGATAGTTTCATTCACAAGACGCGACGCGAGACAAGACACAACACTTATCGTTCTTACAACTTTAAAATAAATTAAAATTTACCTTACTGTCGACCGGTTTCGGGACAATGTCCGACTGATTACTTGGATGTTCATACGTTGTTCCGTACACGTCCAAAAAGAAGAGAAGAGAAGCTACTGGATTCTCAGATTTGTCAGGTTGAAAAGGCAGGATATAATGGGGGGTTCATCTTCATTCATTAATGGTTCAGCAGCATTGGTGATAAATGATGATTCCCAGGCGTTTAGATGTGTAGTTTTTCTGACGGATTTAATGAGTTTTGCACCTTTCCAGTCAATGTTATGGTTTAACGTAATTGTGTGTACTGCCACAGCTGATTCATTTGATTTTCTGTTGTCTACAGCATGTTTATGTTCCTTTAGGCGGACCTTTACTTTGCGGCGCGTTTGTCCAATATAGACTGAAGGACAATCCTTGCATGGAATTTGATAAATTCCAGACTGTTCATCCGGCGGAACTTTATCTTTCAAATTACACAACAGGTCACGCAAAGTGTTGTCGCTCTTGTGTACTACCTGTGTAAATTTTAATTTATTTTAAAGTTGTAAGAACGATAAGTGTTGTGTCTTGTCTCGCGTCGCGTCTTGTGAATGTCGTGTAGTTCTTACGTTAGCACAAAACATAAAAAAATAAAAAAATAAGTCATATGATAGTTATTTGATAATTGTCTTTTTGCGCGAATGACATGTTGTATGAGAGAGACGACGGTAGAGCATGAGTGTACGAATACAAACAGACTGTCGCGCACGACAACGAAGCGAGTGTAGTAAAAAACGCTCCTACTCTGTTTTGACAAAAAACATAAATTGAACCGACTGATGAGTGGCAGTTTAGTGATCAACTATTCTTTATTCTATACTAGCTGAGTGTGCCCGGTCTTGCTCGGGATTCAATATTAGCTTGAGTTTATGCGCCGATTTAAAAAAAGCATGCTATATTGTACGTAGCCCCCCCCCCTATTATCTAAGGGGCTACCCCCTATGATTATCTCCTTATACCCCCACACTCGCCCCCACATGCCTAATTTGTTTCCATTTGCTTGATTAGTTCTCGAGTTATGCAGAAATTTCTGTTTCATTTGTATGGGAGCCCCCCCTTGCAGAAAGGGGAGGGGTCTCGAACCATCATAAGAACCTTCCACGGCCCCAATAACCCCTGTATACAAATTTTCACGCCAATCGGTTCAGTAGTTTCCGAGTCTATAAGGGTCAGACAGACAGACAGACAGACAGACAGACAGACAGACAGACAGACAGACAGACAGACAGACAGACAGACAGACAGACAGACAGACAGACAGACAGACAGACAGACAGACAGACAGACAGACAGACAGACAGACAGACAGACAGACAGACAGACAGACAGACAGACAGACAGACAGACAGACAGACAGACAGACAGACAGACAGACAGACAGACAGACAGACAGACAGACAGACAGACAGACAGACAGACAGACAGACAGACAGACAGACAGACAGACAGACAGACAGACAGACAGACAGACAGACAGACAGACAGACAGACAGACAGACAGACAGACAGACAGACAGACAGACAGACAGACAGACAGACAGACAGACAGACAGACAGACAGACAGACAGACAGACAGACAGACAGACAGACAGACAGACAGACAGACAGACAGACAGACAGACAGACAGACAGACAGACAGACAGACAGACAGACAGACAGACAGACAGACAGACAGACAGACAGACAGACAGACAGACAGACAGACAGACAGACAGACAGACAGACAGACAGACAGACAGACAGACAGACAGACAGACAGACAGACAGACAGACAGACAGACAGACAGACAGACAGACAGACAGACAGACAGACAGACAGACAGACAGACAGACAGACAGACAGACAGACAGACAGACAGACAGACAGACAGACAGACAGACAGACAGACAGACAGACAGACAGACAGACAGACAGACAGACAGACAGACAGACAGACAGACAGACAGACAGACAGACAGACAGACAGACAGACAGACAGACAGACAGACAGACAGACAGACAGACAGACAGACAGACAGACAGACAGACAGACAGACAGACAGACAGACAGACAGACAGACAGACAGACAGACAGACAGACAGACAGACAGACAGACAGACAGACAGACAGACAGACAGACAGACAGACAGACAGACAGACAGACAGACAGACAGACAGACAGACAGACAGACAGACAGACAGACAGACAGACAGACAGACAGACAGACAGACAGACAGACAGACAGACAGACAGACAGACAGACAGACAGACAGACAGACAGACAGACAGACAGACAGACAGACAGACAGACAGACAGACAGACAGACAGACAGACAGACAGACAGACAGACAGACAGACAGACAGACAGACAGACAGACAGACAGACAGACAGACAGACAGACAGACAGACAGACAGACAGACAGACAGACAGACAGACAGACAGACAGACAGACAGACAGACAGACAGACAGACAGACAGACAGACAGACAGACAGACAGACAGACAGACAGACAGACAGACAGACAGACAGACAGACAGACAGACAGACAGACAGACAGACAGACAGACAGACAGACAGACAGACAGACAGACAGACAGACAGACAGACAGACAGACAGACAGACAGACAGACAGACAGACAGACAGACAGACAGACAGACAGACAGACAGACAGACAGACAGACAGACAGACAGACAGACAGACAGACAGACAGACAGACAGACAGACAGACAGACAGACAGACAGACAGACAGACAGACAGACAGACAGACAGACAGACAGACAGACAGACAGACAGACAGACAGACAGACAGACAGACAGACAGACAGACAGACAGACAGACAGACAGACAGACAGACAGACAGACAGACAGACAGACAGACAGACAGACAGACAGACAGACAGACAGACAGACAGACAGACAGACAGACAGACAGACAGACAGACAGACAGACAGACAGACAGACAGACAGACAGACAGACAGACAGACAGACAGACAGACAGACAGACAGACAGACAGACAGACAGACAGACAGACAGACAGACAGACAGACAGACAGACAGACAGACAGACAGACAGACAGACAGACAGACAGACAGACAGACAGACAGACAGACAGACAGACAGACAGACAGACAGACAGACAGACAGACAGACAGACAGACAGACAGACAGACAGACAGACAGACAGACAGACAGACAGACAGACAGACAGACAGACAGACAGACAGACAGACAGACAGACAGACAGACAGACAGACAGACAGACAGACAGACAGACAGACAGACAGACAGACAGACAGACAGACAGACAGACAGACAGACAGACAGACAGACAGACAGACAGACAGACAGACAGACAGACAGACAGACAGACAGACAGACAGACAGACAGACAGACAGACAGACAGACAGACAGACAGACAGACAGACAGACAGACAGACAGACAGACAGACAGAAATTCATTTTTATATATACAGATACCGTGCGGGACCGAAATCCATACACCTAAGCACTAGAGAATATTTTATATTCAAGGAATCAAGCATCATGCAGTTGTGGTTATTCAGACGAGCCCGCTATAGATAAACCTGACGAATATCGACTACAAAAAGGTCTACGACTCAGTACCATACTCGTATCTTCTTAAGGTACTGCAGTTTTATAAGGGGGATGATGGAGCTATCAGGTTAAAGCAGCACGCAATGGGAATGTGCCGTACATCTCTCCCCGTTACTGACGGAGCAATGGTGTTACACTTCAGCATCACCAACAGTTTTGGGATGATAAAGTGAACCAAAACTGGCTTGCAGGTGATTGAACGAGTAGTACGAGTAGCGTTCATTAAGCATCGTATGCATCATCCAAAGTCGGCCGTCAAGAGCGTCACCCAAGCAACACAGAAAACATTGTCAATTTTTTTATTTTTTTTTTTTTATTTACATTGCCCATATATCCCTTAAATGGCACAAGAAATACCGTATGCGTAATAATGTTTGCACCATCGTACAAACAAGGTTCCCGTTTCACCTGAACATACAATGCCTTGGTTTTCTTTACATGCACGTAACCTATAGCTCATACCGTAGTAGGCTGTGTATAAAAGAAAATGATTTGCTTAGTTTGACAGTTGCACCATGACGAAGTGGCAGCGTATTCGTGATTTGTCCCACGCGCAAATGTCGCAAAAAGACATTTCAATCGCCGTGGGAGTGTCCCGGTGGACCGTCAAAAGAAAGGACAACTATCCGCGAAGGTGGCCACAGGTCGACGGAGGTCAGCTCGGGTGCCGCTGCTATCTAAAGGAAGATTCGGGCATTCAATAAGGAAATGGCAAAGGAACACGGGATCAGTGACTTTACGGCACGGAAGATTGCAGGGCGAAGTCGAGGGCACGGAAAAAACTCACATGATTACCAACCGCATCCGGGAGCTACGAGTCGAACGATGCAAGAAAATCTTGAACTTCCTTAAGCGAAAAAAATCCGGTAATCCTGTTCACCGACGAGAGCATGTTTACCGTCGATCCCGTATCAAATTCCAGAACCGACCGGTATATTAGTTCTCTTCCGGTAAAAGACGAGGCCGGCGAGCACAAGAACGTGTATCTGACCAAGCATCCTGCTAGCGTTATTGTGTGGATTGGTAGCTTCCGATGGCAAAAAAATTGAACCCGGTGTTCATTCCAGAAGGCAACAAGGTCAACACGGAGGTCTACATCGGGATTTTAAGTAAGTATGTTCTTCCGTGGATCAAAAAACAGTACGGTCCGAAACCAAATGTTGTATTTCAACAAGATGGGGCTCCGTGCTACACTTCGAACCGCACTCAGAAGTGGTTGCAGGAACATCTTCCGTTCTGGGCGAAGGATATGTGGCCGCCATCCAGCCCCAATCTTAATCCGCTTGATTACTCAATATGGCGCATCATGAAGGCCAAGGCCTGTTCCAAACGCCACTCGAGTACAGCAAGCCTCAGACAAACATTGACCTGTACCTGGAGAGAAATAGATTAAGACTACATTATAAGAGCCTGTCATGCATTCCGGAAGCGTGTGGAGGCCGTAATTGCAGCAAGTGGAAACTCGATCGAAAAGACATAGTTTAAGACTCTGAAAAACATCCCCCTTTGAATAAATAAAAAAAAAACTCGAAAACGAAATTTTTGAGATTTTTTTAAATTTTGACATTGCTTAATGGTGCAAACATTATCACGCATACGGTATAGATTCAAATTATTTAAATTTATCAGAAGTTCCCTTAATGTAAGTTTAAGCCTCATCTTTAGATTCACATTTTTTCAGCCTTCGTTCAGGCTGCGTTTATTAAATTTATTTTGTCAGCCCTTCCATGATGGAAAATCTTTGGATTTATATTATAATGTTTTTTTTTCAGCCGTCGTTCAGGCTAGATCTATTGAATTAAATTATTTAAGTTTATTCTCAGCTCTCCGATGATGGAACATCTTTAGATTAATCTTTTTTAGCCATGGTTTAAATATTTAATCGCGTTTATCTATTTCACTGAGGCCTAAATTGTGATTTTTACATCCAGTCGATGAAGAAATCTTAGTTTAGTATTGTTGCATATAGAAATAACGACTCGATAAGGTTAACTTTTTTTTAATAAATTTGAAGTGGTGAGCGATTGAATTCAAGCTAATGAAACATGGAGGACAGCTTACTACAGATCATTTGGATGAGATCAGTTCCTGTTCTCAAAAAAATAAATGAAGGGGCTCAGCTAGCTTGATGGTTGCCACTTTTGCTTACTGAAAAGAAGATCGTCTGATTAAGACGTGTTGATTTGGAATTCATATCCAATCCTTCTCAAGCGCAGTTGTTCTCATTGTCTGTGAGGTCATCGCTGAGACCAAAATCTAGTAACAGCAAGTTGAACAGTTGTATAAGTAGCTCGGTGGCCTAGTGGTGACCGATTTTGTTTATGGAGCAGAAAATTATGGGCTCAATCGCAAGCTCTTTCACATTAAAGTGTTTTAGTGCGAATAGGATTTATTTATAATTTTAGATATAGCGTGTTGAAATTCTGTTGGAGGAACGAGTACGTAAAAGAAATAATATTCGAGTTTTAGGAAAGCCGTGTTGACCGGAAGTCTATAACAAATTCATCTCAAGAGTAGTTTTTATCGCAGTAACAGCAAGTTGGACAGGAACTTGGTCGTAATTTTATTGTGCAATAAGGAGCTTGATGGCGTTGTGGAGACCGATTTTGCTCACTGAGCAGAAAATCCTGGGTTCAATCCCAAGCTCCTTAACAATATAGAGTGATACTTTAAATCGTAAGTGAGTAAAAGTGACTAACAACTGAGTTAGTTTCATTTTAAGTGTAATAATACTTTTTTTTCTAAGAAGTTTAATCGATTCGTAATCTCCGACAAAGTTGTTCTGCATAGTATTTCTAATCTATTTCCGAGATTTTGCGCAATTTGAGCGAATTTCGGCATGTAACTGGTGGTGTATTTAGTTGTAACCATGATTACTTCTCACCCCAGCAGGCCTGGGTTCATTCCCAGTCGGCGCCGCCGGGATGTTCAGAGACATAACATCTCAGATCACGCCTTCCTTTGGAAGGAAAGTAAAGCCGTTGATCCCCGGTTCATGAGTTGATGGGTCAATAGGTAGGGTCCAGGTATGGGAGCTGCCTCTCTGGCGTCGGTAGCATTGGTGCTCATCACCAATGAAAACAAGATCGTCGGAAAACAAATCAAGGGAAAAAAATACATCGAAACACATTAGGGCAAACCTAGACCTAGCTCACCCAAGATAATTTTACAAATAAATACCCGAGAAGTTTATTTTTACATTGTATGGAGGAATTGTGATATTTTTCCAGATTATCTAAAATAAACTCTGCTGCGACTTTGAATTTCTTATTTACGGCTGCCTATTGTTCTTCATCTTATATTCACTTTTATGCTACATGTAAACGTCTCCTACACAGGTTGAATCTCTTCATTCATTTCAAAGATATGCCTTATTTTTTAAAACATTTTAAATTATGCGAAGAAGTATTTCTGATCTTCAGAATAATACTGAATAAACCTCACATTTCTCAAGATTTCTAAACACCTACAGAAAATTTTATTGAAACCATACTATGGATATCAAGTTATTTCTTTACAATTTATATGAAGATATCTGTACACTCAGGTCTTTTTTTAACGTGTAAAAAACCTACGAGATTTTGATTTTTCACAGATTTTAAAAAATTCGGATTTTGATCCCATTTGTAATTACAGCATGCTTGGAGGCGAACCAGCCTAAGGATGAAAGCCTCCTAAATAAAGCTAAATAATAATAATAATAATTATAGCATGCTATGGTCCATATAGGCATATTTTAAAAATTTCTGTGAATTGTGATTTTTTTTTAAGTATTCCGTTCGATTACCTATAGCTTTAAACGGACAATGCAATTGGAATCAAGTCGATAGGTTGTATCGTTGTCGAGAAATCGTTAAAAACGTTCCGTGTAAATCGTGAAAAACCGTGTTAAAAAAACTGTGTAAAAAAGACTTCAGTGTACTTCTACAAAGTTTCTTTAATTTAATTTCATGAACTAAATTGTACCCATTCTATTTAAATTATCCCTGAACCTCTACGAAGCTCACTAGATTTATGGAAAGTTCTGCAAAGTGCACAAATTAGGTGCACAATGTTGTCTGAAATTATACGATTTGTTTAAAACGTAAATAAAACTACGTTCCAAAGGCGGAAGCGAACCAGCCTCAGGCTGAAAGCCCTTCCTAATAAAGAAAACTTAACATAACTGACATTCAAAAGATTACTGAACTTGAACCTATTTCTTATGTCTCATTCACTGTTCCTGGAAATTTTCCCAAGATCTCAGAACATCACGTTGAATTTCTACGATTTTTTCATCTAGAAAAATCCCTGAATTCCATGAAATCCTCGAAAATCTGACCGAGCTTATATGAAGTTTCCTGAACTTCTACATAATTCCATGCTCTTCAAAGAAGTCTCTCATTTATTTTTTCAATTAAATCAAACTGGAGGGTGGCCTATTTGATTGTATTCGATGCCTATACCCTTTTTACAACAACATCAAACCTAATGTGTTATGTGTCAGCGAAACAGTTCTACCGATTTTTTACCGCACTTCAAACACACAGTTGGTACTTGAGCGGGTCGGTTTTCATCTCTTTTTGCCAGTGGTGGCGAGGGGGGGACACCCCTCACCATCCCTCTCCAAAGGGGGAGTTTGGTAAAGAGAGGTGAAAAAACCGATTTGTACCTTCCTTAAAAGTTGTCCTAGCTCGCTATTCTAATATCTATATGCAATCTTCACACTGCCGTACTCTAACGGAACTATCAACTCTATGCTTTCATCTACTCCATCTATCGTATAAAAATTACCACTACAGTCTGTTATTTGAAATTAGCATCTTCAACTATGTAAATCTTTGACTTCACGTAGAAGTAATACTAAAAACATATAGTCAAAGTATTTCATGATTACATAATTCCGAAAAACATTTTTTTATAGCAAGTGAGTGGAAGTAACCCTGTTACCTGGTATTCCGCAGTGCCCCGGAACCCAGCGGAATACCGTGTTTGGTGCCGCGGACTTTATCGTCGCCTGTACCCAGGGATGAGTCGGGGCCTCGGTTGTCCGGGCTTGTATGACGCTGTGCGAATCCGTGAGGACCAGGATCGGTCGGTTGGAGAGCGTTGTAGCAGCGATGAAGATGGTAAAAGCTTCAGCAGAGAAGACAACACCATTGCGGCGGTAGGCTGCAGCTGGTTGGTGTGATGTTTCTGGCTAGACCGATACCGACCCCAGCCCGAGAGTGAGATCCGTCCGTGTATCGGTGAGTGTGCGTGGGGTATTTTTCTCCTAACATTTCAGCTACAGTCCTTTTCATGGCCACGGAATTGTCTCCGGCTTTGAACCTGTCCTTAATCCGGCTTTCGATTTTCGGTAATAGTGTTTGTCAGCATTTGTCTCTATGCCAGTGGACCCTGGCCACTGGGGGGAGATTTTCGTTGGCAGCCGTGCGGAGGAGTCTGTTCCCCTCGTCGAGGAATATAATCCATTGATTTCCGGATGTCTTCAAGATGAAAGCAGCGACTTTGGTTGTGATAGCTGCGGTTATACGGAAGCGGAAAGGCAGGATGCCTGCGTCGATGCATGCAGCTTCATGGGGCGTGGATGGCAGCAGGCCAGAGACAATCCGGACGTAGGTGTTGTAGACTAGTGCTAACGTAGATAACAACTTTTCTGCTGCGATGCAGGTCATCTCCAACCCGTATAGAAGGC